TTGGAGGAAGTGGGGGTGACGTGGAGTCCACATAAACATATTTTACGCGTTGGCATACCCACGTCAGCTGTTCTAGTTAAGTTAACATGCCATGTAAGCAAAAATTAATGGAAGGACTAAAAAGGGATCTAATTTGTGAACAGTAAGGAGCAAAAAAGGGATTTTTTCAGTACAGGGACTAAAAAGGAGCTTTTTCCTATAGTAGAGGGACTAAAAAGGGTATTTAACCAAATAGGTAATGGTTCCGCATGTCAATTGAAATATAGCTGTGACAAGGAAAAATTCATTTGTAAATTTCAGATTTTTAACTTCCTTATCTCCATCTTAACCATGTTACAGTGGGCAGATGTTGTGCACAATTCCATGGTTAGTTCCCTTATTATCCATTATAAGGCCCATATAAAGCTTTACGAGGTCAACAAAGCCCAACAAATAAGTTTTACTATTTACGAGAATTCAAGTTAGATTTAGATACAATTAGTGCACCCATGCTGTATCATCCCTATAGTAAGGAAATGTTCAATGTCATCTCTCTACTACACCTTTATTTTTCCATGTCATGGAAAATTGGATGTTAATTTTGACCGTCATTCAATAACGGTCAACGGTTTAAATTTGTTTATTAAATTCTTTTTACAAAATAGGACAAGTGGAACCAAAAAATTTTTAATTTTTTAAACTCTTGCTTTTATTTCGTTCTCTTTCTTCCTCACCTTCCACATGGGCATTTTCCGTAAACCATTCCTAGAGCGAAACCCCAAAAAGGCCTTCTTCCCTGTCTTCACCAGTTGACCCATTCACTTGTTCCTCTGCTTCACCTTTCTTCACCAACTTTTCCTCTTTCTTCAGCAACGTTCCGTCTTTCTTTCTTTCTTTTCCATCTTCACCATCTTCAGTAGAAAACACTATGCCTAAAATTGTCCAAAATCGTCCCAAATAGTTGAACCCATAATGTTTGGAAAAAATTGCGAAATATCTATCATTGCTTTTCTTCACCAAAATCACTCACCATCTTCACCGATTCACCCAATTGGTTGCTCCTCTTCTTCACCTTTGTTCACCAACTTTCTGGCTTTCTTTCTTTCTTGAGCATCTTCATCGTAACTCACAAAATCGTAGGCCCAAAATGGGTCAAAATTGCCCAGTAATGCCTAACCCAAAATCTCCCACAGTCGCCAAAAATCACGTTGCTTTTCTTTACCCAATCACAGAATCAGCCAACCCAGAATGTATTCTAGCAAGCTGCTATTAACCGTTGGTTTTCTTGTTGATTTTGTGTTGATTTTGGGTTTTGATAGCTAATATTAATCGTGAATTTTCTTGTTGATTTTGTGTTGGATTTGGGTTCGTGAAATAAATTATTAATTATGGATTTTCTTGTTGATTTTGGTTTGGTGATGTTTGTTATTGGTTGCTGTTAATTTTGAGATTTCAAGTCTATTGTGGTATTATGGTTGATTTGGATTTTGATTTGGATTGTTTTATATATATATATATTATTGTGGAAGGATGATGAGGCTTGAGCTGAATTGTGGATAACATGTTGCTAGGTTAAGGAGCAAACACTAATGAATGAGCTCTTGTTATTCGAAAGAGAGATTGTAGAGATGCAGAGAGAGATGAACTATTTGAAGAATAAAAACTCTGAAATGGGAAAAGCTCAGAGATCATGAGATTGTTGCTTCAATTTTAGTTGAATTTGAAAATGCGTTTTTTGCAGTATTGGTCGAAATTGCCAGTTGAGTTGTGTTAGATGGTTGTCTGCATTGGTATGAATATCCTTTGTCTACTTTTGTAATGGGTCCCTTATGGCAAGGCAGGGCAATCTCCTATGTACTCCAAATTTGAAGTGGAATATTTGACCCCTTTTTTGTCATCTTAAATTGTCAAAATATCTCAATATTTTGAGCCTTTTCAACTGTGTATAAGATTTACTAAAAGCAAGCAAAGGGTACACTTTAATTGTAAACATTTCAATGTCATTGCAAGTAACCATTTCCTCTGTTATCACTATATTTTCGTGTCACATCCTCTGTAAACCAGATTTAAAAAATGCAAAACCAGAAGAAGAAAAAAAAAAAAAAGGTCCCCCTTCGAAGTGTAAGGTTTACAAAATATTAATAAATAAAGTTAAACCTTAGACTGTTAGTAATAACAGTCAAAATTAACCATACTTTTGTGGATGGCATCCAATTAGGGATGACATTGAACCAACTCGAGGTGGTATTAGAGGGATGACATTTACACGAATTTACTAAAAGTAAAAGGATGACATTTAACATTTCTTTAGTAGAGGAACTGTAATGAACATTTTCACAAAGTACGATCACTACAATTCGCTTTATGCGTATTTTCTTACCTGGTGAGTTCCTTTTACCAAAACCAATTACAGAAACAAAATAACTGCATTAAGGTATAGGGGTGTACATAACAAATATTAGCTTTTAAAATTGGAATTCTTCAACCCGTGCTGCCATCATGCACCATCAGTTTTCCTTTCTCTAAGGCGCTTGCTTCTTCGACGTCCAGCAATACTGGTTTCAATTAAATGATTATTCTCTTCATCATTGTTCCCACATCCATAGTCACCCTGGACTTGAGTGGGTATCGATCCTCTTCGCCCTGGCAACACATGTGGCTCTTTCTTCTGTTGTGCCAATGCCCCATCTCTCCCATGCAAACTACTATTCTTTAGAACTTCATTCATTGAAGCAAATTTGATCTCCTCAATACATCGACTTTGTCTTTGGCATGCAAACAATGACTATGATTTTTGAAGAAAAAGGTAAAGGGATATGTATAGTTTCTTATCACAAATTTAAATGAAGCCACAAGTATACGGTTCTTAGTTAATGTTGTTAATTTGATCATAAAGTAGAAAGTTAATGAGGGTCCCAGAAGCATACCTTGTTCCTAGCATCTTCAAGGCCTCTTCTTGAGTGACTTTTTCCTATTACTTTCTTCCTCTTGTATCAGCTTATACCCTTCTTGACCAAGGTCTTCATTTGGTTACCTGTTGGCTTGCCCCTCTATTTTTTTCGCATCGGATTCAAAATGGGAAGGTTATTTACAATCATTCCTTCATCACACTCTGCTTCTGTTCCACTTTTCTCATATCCACCATGTTTCCTTCCCTGCTTTGATGTTGAGCCTTTCATCAAATTATAATTACCCATCTCTTGTTGCTTTTCTTTCTCCCATGAATTCGGGCAGGTAACCATCTCATTAGCATGTTCCTTGAGTTCATTTATATAATTATAATAAATAAATATTTAATGAATTACAGATATAATAAAGACATAAATATCAAGTATAAAATAAGTAAAAAAGATGATTAATAAAAAAAAGATATGAACTCTTGAAATGACAAGTGTAATATAGATAAAAAGACAGGTTTTAATTGTGAGGAGGACTATTACAGTGGAAAGCCCGGTGAAGACAATTAAGAGGGAAGAAAGGACATTGTGTGGGGTTAGGTGACATTAAGTTTAATTAATATAATTATTAGTGGTTAATTATAAAAATATTTAAAAGGCTCAAGTATGTTGTCGTATTGTATTAAACAAAGTAATGTAATTGAGATAAATGGAAAAAAGAGTGCTAGGGGCACTTGGCTATGCACTCTCCGACCAACACTTCAAGATTTATTGGGCTACATTTGTGTGGGTTGTGAGAGGTTGCACTACAAAGCCTGAAAGAAGCATACGTGGCCCAATGAAAGGGAAAGTGTTTGCCGAAAAGTCGAAGAGGCGAGTGTCCCTACCACTGCACGTCTATATTCTCAACTGAGGCTAAAATAATCTATATTAATTAATGCATGATAACTAATTTCTATATAACAAAATTAGCAAATTACGAGAAAAATACAACACATGTACTATTTACTACACACAAAGATTGTGCTAGTAAATCTATAAAACAACAAAGGCTGTATATAAACACCATTAAGCAATAAAGTAAGCAGATTGAATTTACTTAAGCATGGTATTGGGGAAATTTTATTATTGTATGGGATAAGTGAATTGCAGATAAGAGAAAATTTTTTGTTGGCATCACTCGATAACGTAAAAATAACACACTCAATTTTTGAACCATATTTTCAAATCTTTAAACCAATAAATTTCTAATGCTAAAGAAATATTGTATAGTTAGTATATACAAAAATAAATTAATAATTTTCTTTGGTTTAACACATACAATAAGTAAAATGGTTGCCTAACATCATGTAAATAATCTTATAAATATTTTCAAGAAATAAATGTTAATTTATTATTGAAATCTAATTATAGGGACAGAAAAGGCAAAACATTGCTAGTAGAGGGGCTTAAATGCAACTTCTACTTTTATCAACAGAAAAAACATGGAAGAAAGATAAGAATCATGACTGCTAACGCCATGCATATATGAGTAATAAGTATTGACCAAAAAGGGATGACGAGCCCTTGTTACGTGTACATAACGAGAGAGTAGCACATGTACACTAAAAAGAAGGTTGAAATCAACAGAAAGTTGGCACTGTGGGTTTAACGAAGGGAAATATAGGTTGGGAATTGAATTGTTTACGTAATGGTAGAAGGGAGAACCACAAGCAGAGGAGTCCCACAAACCAAAATAACCCAAAAGTCAAGAAGATCAAGCGAATTTATGGATGTGGCCATTCAATGCGACGTCTGGAGTCATTAAAGACATAAATAAGGGTAACCAACTTATTTATTAGGCAACATGTACCCTATAATCAGCTATTACTAACCTCTACCCTCCTACCTCTATACCACAAACCCCTCAACCACAAAGCAAAATTTTAGAGAAAAGTTAGAAAGCCAATGAGAACAATGGACTTGGGCCCCATTTCACAAATCCTAAGCATGGCTATCATGTCACTGATGGAGCGGGATGTACTGCTAGAAGAGATGTGCGCTATGCATCACACAACAAAGAGGTTCAAAAGGGCATGGGAGGAGGCAATCGAACCAATAAAAGCCACACAACCCATGAAGGAAATACATATGGGTTTCTCCATGCAAGTAAGGTGTTATGTAATGGATAGTGGGGTGGACGTGTCATGGGAAATGATGTTATATTTACAATGTTGAAAATATAATTTTAGGGTTAAGCAAAGAAAAAGAGTTTGGTACCCTCAACTGGCACCATTGTAGCACTAGTTAAGGTCTGAAGACGGGAAAAAGGTTGTTCGAGTTTAACTTATCCAAGTGATTGTTAGTAATAATAAAGACGATTAAAATTTTGTTGTTGTAGGTTTAGGGGTTGAGAAAGGCCGGGTTAATCCCAGAGGAGGAGCACAGGGTACACGTTGGAACTAGTGCATCACCAGAGGGGCTGGAGGCAAAACATAACGTTATCCGGCCTTTATTGAGGGTTGAGGTTGAAGATTGGGGAAGAAGAACATTGTTGGTTGCTTTACCAGTTGACTCTGCAGCTGGACATTATGGGTACAGATCATGGAGGCCAGTCGAGGAGGAATCGTTGAACTGGTGAAGCGCCTAGAAAAGCTAACGATGTACCTCGACCGAGCAAAAAGGGGGGATCCATTTTGGAGCGACATGCTTAGAATCACAGCCATGGTACCGATTGTAATCACTCCATCTGTCATCGACGTTAGTACTAAGGAAATTTATGTACAGCAATTTCGGATACCAAGTAATATTGTACTGAAGGTCATCAACCATTAATGGATGACAGATAGAGAAAATGCAAATGTTGTTTTCCACTTGGAATTTAACCCAGTTGGAAGGTCCACCAACAATGGAGAAGAGTAAGGGACAGTGATGGAAGCAGAACCCATCCTCCATTTGATTGTCCTTTGGAATGCAAGAGTTGTAATGAGGCCAACCTTTTGGAAGATGGTGCGGATACTGCACCGGAGAACAACGCCTGATATGCTGATGATATGTGATACAGGGGTTGCAGACAACCAAATGATTCCAGCCGAGGAGGATCGAGTAGAATTTGATGGGGAATTTATTGCACCTGCAACTAACAACACGGGGGAATGGTGTGTTTGTGGGATAAAAGCAGGCTTAATGTTGCCTGTGTTTTTGTGGGATCAGAAGAAATTGCATACATATTTGCTTGGTTAAATACCCTTTTTGGTCCCTCTACTATAAGAAAAAGCTTTTTTTTTTTTTTATCCTTGTATCGAAAAATCCCTTTTTTGGTCCTTACTGTTCACAAATCCGACCCTTTTTTAGTCCTTCCGTCAAATTTTGGCTGATGTGGCAGGTTAATTAACGGAAACACTTATTCTTTTTTTTTACAAAATTAAGTGGAAAATCCATGTGGCAAAAATTAATGACATGTTAAATTTTTTACTTTTAATTATTGACATACCCTCATCTTCTTCCCCGGCTTCTCCTTCCTCCAGCCTTTTTTTTTTCTTTTTTTTCTTTTACCTCCTCCTTGCCGCTCCCCATCTCTCCTTCCGTGAAGGCAAACCATGAAGAATCTCGATTTCGACGCAAACAAAGGTACGCGCTCTCCCTCCCTCTCTCTGCGACCTCTTCAGATCTCACTCTGACTCCCCTCTGATCTCTTTTTCTTTCGATCTGTTAACAGTTCTTGCAAAGGAGTTCCTCTCAAACTTCACAGACGTCAATGGCGAGCCGAAATACATGAACCTCCTTGGGAGTCCCCCCATTTCTTTCCGTCCACCGCTGGGAACTAGAAACCCTAGACCTCCAATTTCTTTTTTGTTGTCCATGGATTTAGACAGGAAATATATATTATCTTGTTAATAGTAATTTTCTATTGAGTACCTAGAGTAACCTCTTATGTAATCTGTTTTTCCAGCAAGAAGTTGCGAATTGTAAAATTCGAGCGATACAAATTGATCTTGAGGACCTAGATAATGTGAGGATTTTTCTTCCTCTTGTTCTGCATTTGATATTTTTCTGTTATATTTATTAATTTTTAGATTTTTTTTTTTTTGGGAAAGTAATGAATTTTGTCTGTGTTAAATTTGATCTTAATAGTACAAGGACAAGGATGAAGAGTTTTTCAGGTGGATTACTGAAAATACTCGTAGATATATAGGAATTTTCGCTTCAGTGGTTGATGAGCTGTTGCCAGCGCCCACTGAGGACATTCCGGATGATATTCCCATACTGATGACGCAGAGGGCAGACAATGGAAATGGAATTGAAAATGCGGATGCTACTAATCCACTTAAGAAGATGCCTCCAGAGATTAAGCGTTACTAGTAAGCTCAAGGAAAACCCTTTTTCCCTATATTCCGTTTCCCTTACTAGATGAGGATGCATCTGGTTATTGAGAAATGACTGATTATTTGCATCCAATAGTAGATATGAGGTCTTTTTTTTTTTGTGTTACTAGTAAGCTCAAGGAAAACCCTTTTTCCCTATATTCCGTCCCTCGACCGCACGATAACCAGCTCCGCTATGTCGGCGGCGACACCCGTATCGTCGCACTCAGCCGATCCATCACCTTCATGGGTTTCCTGTCGAAACTGTCCAAACTCTCAGGTAAATATTCAATCTTGACGATCGAAATTCGTTGTTTTTTTATTGTCTCTGATTTTTTTCCTAATTGATTTTGTTGATTTCTCTGTTGGGTTTAGGAATTAGCAACGTGAATGTTAAGTATCAATTACCAAATGAAGATCTTGATGCGTTGATCTCTATAACTACCGATGAGGAGCTGGAAAACATGATGGATGAATACGATCGGTTGGCGCAGAATCAGAATCGAAGTCGGCCCGGCTCCGGTTGTTTCTGTTCTCTAAAGGGGACGATTCACGAACCAGTAGCATCAGGTCACGAACCCAAGCTTTTGGGTTCGTCTGGAGGTAAAAGAAAAAAAGAAAAAAGCTGGAGGAAGGAGAAGCCGGGGAAGAAGACGAGGGTATATAAGTAATTAAAAGTAAAAAATTTAACATGTCATTAATTTTTGCCATGGATTTTCCACGTAATTTCGTAAAAAAAAAAATAATAAGTGTTTCCGTTAATTAACTTGCCACATCAGCTAAAATTTAACGGAATAACTAAAAAGGGGCCGAATTTGTGAACAGTAAGGATCAAAAAAGGAATTTTTTCGGTACAGAGACCAAAAAAGGACTTTTTCCTATAGTAGAGGGATCAAAAAGGGTATTTAACCTATTTGTTTCATTAGCACCCCTCAAGTATGGGGTGGTGCCATTCTCCACCGATCGAATGCATGAAGCAAAACGGGACTCGTAAGCTCAGAGTGGGCCTATTAAAAGGTTTGTAGATTTTGGATTCACATGATGGATATATATATATATATATATATGCATATGGATATATATATCCACTATACTAGAATTGTTTTTTGGGTAGGATCATTGTACATATTGGGAATATATTTTGTGTTTAAGCTACAATTGGAAATGTAGCTAATATGTAGGAAAAAACATGCAATAGAACTATGGCATTAATTATCTATTTATTTTAATGTGACCCAACTGATGAAGTCTACAAAACCATAAGTGATGATTAAAAGGTGTTTGAATTAGGGAGAAAGTAAATTTCTCAATTTCACATAATTTAATTGCGATGTGAATAACATTTTCACAAAAAAATAAAATAGTAATTATGTGACATGAGATTTTTACTATTAAAATGTTCGAACTGAAGAGGTGTAATGACAGATTATTACTTTGTAGCGTTACAACAAATTATATAAAATTAAACAAAACTTCCAAAAGTAATGCCTTTCTTCAATTAATGACTACCCAAAAGTGCTCTATTTTAATTGAAATTGAAATGGGATTTATACAAATTCAATCAAGGTATATGATATTATAGAAAATTATGGTTTACGATTCTATTAAGGTCCATACCCCTCATACTAACTTACCAATGGGGATCTTACTACATAGAGAGATGGTCTTAAACCTTAAGATTATAAATGTTAACTAAAATTTGGCTTTATATTTCGAAATTTACTTTTGTAGGGAACCAAAAACCATATTTTTGCCAATAGTTTATATATAACTGAATTACTGGAGCTATAGATCCTATCACCCCCATATGTACATTTGAAAGAAGCAAATAAACTACATAGTGAATGTTTGGGAAATATAATAGAAATTTACAATATATTTGGTAATTGCAGAAGTAGAATCACAAAGTGATATTCCTCATTCTTTCATCATGAGTGCAAATATTTTTTTTTTCCTTTAGACAAACGAAAAAGAGAAATTGAGATACAAAGAAACTTAATTACACTGCAAAACTTCGAAGAGATACGAAAATCCAGACCATATTATTTTTCTAGGTTCTTCTGCTTCTTCAAATTAATGACAAATCTTCAGTGTTATCTATATGACAATGTTTCTCATCTCCTACAGAAGAAGCACTTAAAGATTTGTCATCTTATCAAAATGTCAATTTAATTAAAAACTTGTTAAACAAATAGAAACCAGATAAAGCAAAAGGGATAGAGCATTAGAAATCCACCCAATGATTTTCGAATGGTATCATACTTGCATCTAACACTCGTTATCGACTTGAGTCGGTCACATTAACTCACAAAAGCTCATATTCACACAATGACTAATCATATAACAAAATCTATAAGCTTCCTACTGAAGAGATCCAGAGAACAGATGCCACACAAAATCTAATTAATCCCATTTAACTTTCACAATTTCCAATATATAAATAATACCAAATTTGATTCTAGATCCTATAGCAAACAAACCACATGAAGTAACTAATGGACACAAAGAATAAAACTATAAGAGAATACCTTACGTGGCACACAAATTCGCATGAACTTTGTTACTACTTCATAATATACAACAAAATCCAGGACAATAATTACCTGCAACATTTCATTGAAAATGATTACCACAAGGCATTAAGTGGCAAAAATGATTACCTCAATCGGTGCTTACATGTTGAATAAACCCAACAAGTAATAGACATCATATAAGTAAAATTAATGTACTAAAAAGGACAATAGAAAATACAGAGAATTGATGGAGATTTGTTTATGTCTTAGACATATAGGCATGAAAATGTAATGGTGGGAAAAATGTCCATTGGGTTCCACAATGAATGAGACACCATGAATGAAGATATTTGCAAATAACTTTAATTGTAAAAGCTGAGAAAGGGACGTTACATAAAGACCCAAAACAATGCAACATTAGGAAGATACTGGCACAGGTGAAATGAGGCTGGACACTCAATCCGAAAGTATTTGTGGTTGAAGACACCACAAGATAACCATTGCTGCATAGAATGAAATGGGGAGAATTATCTACTATATAATGCTGAAGACTAAGTATTACTCTACTTGCAACTATAAAACCATTATATTGAGGGAAAGAGCAAATGGTAATTGAAGTTACATAATACATAGAAACGAAACAGTTGGATGTTAAACATAAAACATTCAATGCATGACACATCAATAGACACATAGGAGAAAAACGAACTTTAGGGGATAACAGTCATAGTGAGGATGACAAATGGACTAATAAGCTATAAAGGGTTGTCAAGAAGAATCAATTTAACATACTCTCATTTTTCCAAAAGCAAGAAAATTAAAAAGCATA